TACCGCCCCATCAAGAAGATTACCTTCCATTTGCCATCAGTAACACTAAGTTAGCATAAGAGCCTCCATGGTCTAACTTTTAAAAATTTTTAAAGCTTTAACTACATATATGATGGTCTATTGATAACCAATAAAAAATATTCCTTGAAATGTCTTTGACTGGATTATGGCCATAGTTCTACAGAATGAAGTGGCTGATTGAGAAAATCAGGGCTCTGTAAAAGTTTCTGGATAATATATGAGAAGATTCTTTTTTTAAAGAGAGAGAGAGAGAGAGAGAGAGAGAGAGAGAGAGAGAGAGAGAGAACTTTTTAATATTTATTTTTCGGTGGACACAACATCTTTTTTTATTTTTATGTGGTGCTGAGGATCGAACCCAGCAACCCGTGCATGCCAGGTGAGCAAGTTACCACTTGAGCCACATCCCCAGCCCATGAGAAGATTCTTCTAGCAGTCAACGAAAAAATTCTACCTATTCATTCTCCACTTAAAATAATGACTCTCAACAATTTATTGAAATATTTGGGTATTGGGTATTAGGTATTGGTGAGGATATATAGCTCACTTGGAAATTCTACTTGGAGCTCTGTATTGGCTAACTGCCCCTGCCCATCAGTATCTTTTAAGTGATGATGGAAATATACTTTGTCATCTGTCCATCAAGCTGCAGCCATTACTCCATCAACAAGTTGCTATTAGTTGAATATTCTATGTGCAGCAATTTTTCTTGGATGTGTGGTGAAGAGAGAGAGAAAGGGATGAAATAGAAAAAGTAGCAGGAAGGCAGACAGGGGAAGAAGCCTTAGAGATGTAGTTCTCCTTTCATATAAGTTCATAGATATGAAACCAGATGAAAAAGGCCAATTCTTTCAACAAGGAAAACTTAATATAGGTTCCCTCCTCCTCATATTTTGAGCCAAATTCCAAGCAGTCAAAGATCACAGATTCTCCTAACTCCCATCAATCTAGCCACAGTAAGATAATGCAGTGTTAGTCCAGATAATGTAATGAGTTATCTACAAAAATCACTGTTATTCTTCCTAAATTTAGTGACACTGAAAAGCCACCATCACCAAGAATACATTTGAAATTTTACCCAGTAATTATGATGTTTCTTCATGGATTAAATCATTCACTGTTAACTATCCCAATGACCATCACTGAAGAAAAATTTTAATATACCAGACTTTTCTTTTCTGGACTTGGAACTTTGTGAAATTTAGCTTTGCTGACTACCTGAACTATTCTCAGTTTATAGAGACAAAAATAAAAGTAAATAAATGAATGAATGAATGAATAAATATAACACATGAATGTACAAATTTTCTCTGTGATGACATAAAGCATAGAGATGACATTATACAAAATGTATATTCATTTCCACTATTTGCTTACGAACACCAACATCAGTTTTTAGGAACATTTTTCAAGTATAAATAAAAGTAAAAATGGAAGCATCCATAGCATACCATTACTATAAAAAAATTGTACTGTACAAGCAAACATTGTATGATGAAATTTAGGCAAATATATTAAAAAATTTTAGGAAGGCCATTTATAGTACAATTTTTCCAAGCTTCAACCTGAAGGTGGAGAAACAGTGAACAGAAGACTGGTTAGCTTCCACATTATGATTATAAGACCATTGAGATGGTCCCTGAAAAAGCTAGACTTTTTATTTTATTTCATTATCCTTTTCACTAACACTAAAACTGATTTCTCCCTTATTACTTTTCTAAAATAAAACAAGGGGAGGGATGATTTTTATTTAATGAAAAGCAGATACAGGATGAAGTCAGGAGACCTAGATTCTAATTTTTTTCTATTAAATACTTAAGATTGTTGGGCAAGTCTTTAGTAAAATGATGAATATGGAATGTTCTCTATATTCGATAATCAATATCTAAATTTTGAGATGCTTCTATTAAGAATGTCAAGCATTCCAGTTGTAGCTAAATGAATAAGTTATTTCATGCAGTCATATATGAAGTCATATATGAAGACTTTAAATGTTTTATCAAAATTGATTTATGAGCATATAACTTTGATAGCAGTGTTGTAAAACTTTGGTTGAATTCATTGGATTAGTTTTGAAATGTTCATTTTGCATACTTGTTCTTTGAGAATGTATTTTGCTAAATATCCCTTTGCAGAATGAAGATAGAAAGCAACATTATGACTTTTATGTAATGATTTGATACTTACCATTGAAATTTGGGGGCTATTTTGAATTCATAAAATTTACATTTCATAATAAAAACTCTTTCAATTTTTTTTTAAAAAAATTGTTAATAAGAGGTTCTTGTGACTTTTTAAATAAAAATGCAAATATCCATAAGATTATATAATACAGCCACCAACATCAATAAGGTGATATGAACAATATATATTAATCTATGAAAATATTTTATATGGTTATCCTTTGACTAAATCAGCTTGCCCTCATAAAACACTAAATTACTTAGCTTTTTATCTATTCCATAATAATAGGTGTGAGCATATGTGCTGTCCTTCTTTCAAAGTTGTTTTTAATTTTTTCCAGAATTTTATTTATTTCATTAGAAAATTAGATTATAGGAAATACCAATACCTGTGATCCTCAGTAAATTGTACTGAATAAAATCAATGAATAACTTCATAAGAAAAAAGTCACATTTTTATTGTAATTAATGAGGCATTTCTTAAAATTCAAGTTGAAAACAGCTGTTATTTCAAGTATCAAAATAATAGAACTCACATTTAGTTACCTTCATTGATTAAAATATTTAAGCAAGTATTCATAAGTTTTATTCTTCCCCTGTCTGCCTTCTTGCTACTTTCTCTATTTCAGCCTTTTCTCTCTCTCTTCACCACACATCCAAGAAAAATTACTGCACACAGAATATTCAACTAATAGCAACTTGCTGATGGAATAAATTATTTCATTGGCACAATTTTCAATTTATTTTTACCAAAGCAAACATTTAATTTAGATCTACGCTAGGGGGCAAGTAATTATGAGCATTAAAAATGTAGCTTAATGATGCTCAAAGATGTGCCATTGGTACTGGTATACTAATCTCCTTTTGTGTTTTGCATAGCAGTATTAGTGACAATGACATTAAATTAAGAAAGATCTTGAATTCCAACTCAACAAAGATATTTAAATTTTTTTTGTAGTTATAAATGGACAGAATGCCTTTATTTGTTTATTTTTATGTGGTGCTAAGGATCAAACCCAGTACCTTACACATGCTAGGTAAGTGTTCTGCCACTGAGCTAAAGCCCTCAACAAGTATTCTTAACAGAAATTCCTGCTATAATTTATGGTTTGTTAGTTTCATATATATATAATATATATAATACTGAGACTACTTTAACATTTTTACATTAGTTAGAATTATGTTAGAATACACTGCCTTAAAATTATCATTATCACAATTAAGAGTAATAACAGATCTGTCAGTATTACTACTTGCTTTCCCTTTTGTTTTGTTGGGACATTCCTTTTGCAATATGGACTCATTACTGTTGGACATAATGTGCATAGTAATCACTCCACTGTTACCTGAAGGGTTAATGTATTTAGAGAATAAACTAAATGATCTTTGGTTTCAGCTCCTAATTTAACCTACTATCCACATGGCATGGCTGCATATGAGAATTTGCAGTATTTTTGCAAGTTGAATATGTAGTTTTGAATGTTCCTTTTATTCAAACATGAAATGAAGTCAACCAAAATTTCCAAACTTAAAAAAACTGATAATAAAGCCATTGTATGTAGCCCCTCCTGACTTCCAATGCAGCTGTCCATAGTTAAAACCCCCACTCATCACTGTACTCTGCCTATTACTATACAAGAAAAGAGAAATAAAACCTCCAATAGAGTTGGAGTTCAAACAAAACAAAAATAAAATTCCTGACACTGGAGAAGATGAGATTTTAAGGCATTCCTCACTAAACAAATTCTCAAGGTAATTGCTCAACTTTACCTTCTTATTTCTGGTATAGGCAGGGGCTTGTTCCTTTAAGGTTAAAAAGCATATGTCTTCTCTCTCCACCAACTACAAGAGCCAGGATGACAATTTAATTCTTATTCCACTGAAATTGTGTATAGTAATGCCAAGAAATTATACTCACATATAACAAACTTAAACGGGGCACCATTCAAAGTTTCTAATGTTTATTTCTGAATACTCTTATCTGTATTCTTGGCACAGAAGACCTATGTCCAAAGGTTCAAAGAGTAAAATGTAGTGTGCAAATTAATACAAAATTTCATAACTTAAAGAAAGGTGGCTTATGAAGTAGTTTGTTTTCAAGATTTAAATGCATGAGGAATCTGGAATACAAATTTTAGAATTGAAATTATCTCCCCTCTTGGTCACTCATTCCCTCAATCCCTTTGGTCATATTCATTCATTAAACAACTGCCTATTTTCTCCCAACTAGAAATACTAAAACAGTAAACATGTTCTCATAAGAAAGGGCTACTTCCCTAAGAAAACTTCCATGGAAATATTGTCTGGATAAGATGCTACACAACACACACACAAAGCACACAGATACTGCAGGAGCCTCTTGGTACAATGTTTTCTAATCCTGCTATATCCCCATCTTAGCCACTAAACCTAAAGAAAAATAGGGGCTTTGGCTTATTGCTATTTCAAAGAAGATTTTAAAGGGTAAGTTTGATGCCACCCACTTCTCCTTCAAGCAAAAAGCTTCTTATCCTCTAGAGTTGCTGAGCTTTTAATAGTATTGTTGCTGAAGGCCATTCACCACCCAGTCAGGTGCTCTGTTCCCAGTATGAAAAGACCCCTTCTGGAGGAATAGTTAAAATAAGATTGCTCCTTATATCCAGCTGTAAATGAGTTGAACGCATCTATGCCATGTGAATAGTTGTGCGCTATAAAACAACAATAACAAAAAGTTTAGTCCCAAAAGGTTTGTTATTCTTCTCTTTCCTTTATCATGCTTGATCATTCCCTAAACAGCCCAGGTGCTGAGAAACACAGTAACTGTACAAAAGCCAGGATCGTAGTGTGTCAGTGTCAATTTCCTGAGGACACTTTCAGAAAAGCTGGAGAGACAGCAACGTGTGAAGGGAATGAGGTCAGAATTTACTGAGAGGACCATTTACTCTTAGAAGGAATACGGCGGGACAGTGAGGTTCTGCACCGACTGAAAGAAGGTGGGTCAGGGGCGGACTTTGAAGAGGATGTCTCAGCACCAGAAAGAGTGAGGGGTGGCACATGGGGGCGTTTGGGCGCTGGCAGAAGGGGGAATTCGAAAGGAGAAGACATGGTAACAGTGAGAGCAGCGATGACCCTGTTTGGAGTGACGCTAGGGTCGGGGCCATCCACCTTAGCGGTTAGTGTGGAAGCTGGAAGGTGAGGTGAGACCAGGAGCTGCAAGCAGCTGTCTGTCCCTGGGAGAGAAAAGGTTCTTGTTGCCGGCAGGTGGAGTTGAAACCAAACATCCCCTCAGGGACCACGGAGCAGACCCCTCTGAGACCCTCTGCCTGGAGGCTAGGGAATCATAGCAGGTGGTTTGGGTTGCCTGTAAAATCTAAAGACGTTCTGTCTACCCCAAGCCTTGACGTCTGACACCCTGAGCTCTCCTGGTTACTCACCAGTCCTGGGGGGAAAGCGCCATCCCGGGCGCACGCGAGGGTTGCGCGGCGCAGGCTGCAGGCAGGGCCGGGCGGCGGTGGCGGCGCTGTCCTAGGAGCGGAACTGGAGTCGGGGGACGCCAAGGCAGAGACAGCGGGGGCGCAGGGAACTGAGGGCGGGGAGAGCCGAGGATCTGAAGCTGCTGCGCCTCGCGCGCTCTCTGCCCATCTCCGTCTCTGCTAAAGCGGCTACTGCTACTGCCGCTGGAGAGGAGGGAGGCGAGGGGGAGGGGAGGAGGCACGCGGTAGGGAGGGAGGGAGGGAGGGAAGAGACGGAGGGAGGGGGATGAGAGAGGGGAAAGGGGGAGATGATCACTCAGAGTTGGGAGGGGACAAGGAGACGCACAAGAGCCCAGCAAAGGTTCCCACCAGATGAGCTCAGGGTGTGGAAACAGAGGATGGGTCTCTTCTCGCGCCCCCACATACCCTGCATCCCCCTTTGCGCCCTTTCCTTGGGCTCTTCCTTTTATAGCTCAATCTGGGGGTTGCCCGGCTCGTCCGCAGCTAGGGCTTCAACGCACTAGTGAGGGTGTTTAGCTCAGCAGGCTAACGCGATAGCTCTCCGCGCCACCGGCCTGTGGCACCTGTGCGCGCACCCACTACCACCCGCTCCATTTCAGCGGCTCCCAGACCAAGAACTCAGGCTGTCACCCTCTCTCTCTCCCCTTTGCGGTCAAATCCTGATCGTGCATGTGCAACCATGACATCTGTGTAGTTCCCCATTGCTATTTGTTTTCCTGGGCGCTCTTTGGCACAGGCTGTCCGACCAGAAGGCGCCAGCAGGGAGCTCAATGCAGGCAACCTTCGCCAGCCCGGTGGAGCTGCTGCCCAGGCAGGGGTGACGGTATTTGTTTGTTGCCTGGGTTGACCTGCTAGCCCTGGGTGGGATTGGGGGTGGGGAGGATCTTTGGACCTCATTTCCTTGAACCGTGTATTTAGCGATCTAGAAAGGTTGTAAATGTGAAAGGCAGAGATACAGTCCATTACCTCTTGTCTTGATTCTCTTCCTCCCTTTACCGAATGAATATATATATAATATATGTACAACAAAAACAAACAAAAACCATTGATTTAGCTCACTTAATAGAAATATTTCCCTAGCTCTTCAATGCAGAGCCTTCAATTCCGCCCCCAGTATTTTCCTTGGATTGGCCTGGCTTTCCTATTGTGGATTTTTGTTTACTCCTTTGGATTGTAACTCAATCGTGTATGTTCAAAAACTACAAAGATTCGAATGCAAATAGATACTATATTCAGTGCCCTATACGCTTTCATGATTGAGGGAATGAATTCAAACATTCAGTAAATATAAAAAACAATCGGAGTATTATTGACTGATTTCCATGAACCATAATTTTGTTTCATAATATTCTGTGGTAGTTGGGGGTCGGCAGAGAGCAAGTACATTATTGTGTGTAAAAGATATGACTGGGAAAAGAAGTCTAGTAAAACGCTCTTCTACACATAAAGTTTGCTATTATTCCCTGTCAGAACCAAGAAGGAAAGAATTGCTAAGTTTGTTTGGTTTCTCTTGTGTGGGGATTGCTTTTAAAAAAAAAATGAAAAAGGCGTCCATTTACTAAAGAGACAATGTTATAAAAGCCTAAAGGATCTTAGTCTCTAGAAGAAATAATCTGAGTATTTTGTTTTACATAAGTATGTCTTATATAACAAATGTATTCATATTAAGTGCACTCTCAATTGTATATGCAGTGAGGAAAAACGTTTTTAATGTACTAAGCCATACCCTAATGTTAATGAAAACCCTCTAGATCTTCCTGTATACCTATACATGATGGAATTTTTTTTAAAAAGTTATAACTCAGTGGTAAAGTAATATTTGATGGTCTGGGTATTCTCAAATTCTTAGAATCTTTCCTGTTGAGTATATCTGCTAATGAAAATATTTGGTTTCACATCTATCTAATGATCCTAATGAGACAAGTACCTCCTCATTATGAGAACAACAGATGGTTAAACTCCTCTAATGCACCTCACCTTTAAAAGGCATATGCTACTGTCTCCAGATGTCCAGAGGTGCACCATGTAAATTCACCAACTGCTATTTCAAAGACCACAGAAAGAAGATGATTGGTGGAGACCTACAGTTCATTCAGCACTCTAAGTCTTTATTATAGGTGAGTAGTAATTTTTACCAACACCATTAATTGCCAAGGCAGGGTTTTGAATCAAGAATTAATAAACCTTAATTTTCTTATGCCTGATTAGGATATTCCGTATCTTTCTCTTAGTGAGGTAATTTGCCTTTGAGAATTTTAAATGTTTTTCTTCCCATATTTAATTATGAAATCAAAACAGCAATATATATGTCGTTTCATTTTATGGTTGTGAAATGGTAAAGCAAAGAATGCAAACTAAATTACTTTAAATCCAAGCAATGACAAAGGGTGATATTTAAAGCACAGCAAAACAAATTTCTAAATTTCTGAATATCAGTTTACCTCTCCAACCGCTTGGCCCACTGGAGACAAGAAGAGAATGATAAAAGATGAAATGACATTTGAGGTCTCCTGCTGGAGGATTTGGATTTCTATTTAGATTCTAAGGTTGGATGAAAACTTTTCTGTCACATCTACTACAGCGTTCTCTACCTTTTTGTACTCTTTTCCCCTTTTTCATATCTATTAGTGTAACACTGAATTATGCATTATAACATTAAGTCTCAGAAGAGAAAGTATGAAAAAGCAAAGAGAGTGGGCCCTGTGATCTAAGAATGTTCCAAGAAAAATGTACTTTCAAAAAGGGAGTTTGCTTGGAAGTGCAAAATTTATTTTCTTGGGTTACAACAATCGATTCGGGAACTGGAATTGGGCTGCAGCTGCCAAAGGAAAAAGCATGGGAAATGTAGAGGGGACTCTGTAGTGGTTAATCTCCCAAAACTAAGAAAAGTATTACTCCTGAAGGGGTGCTATTCATTCTCACTTGTGAAACCTTCTTTGCAGCAACTGCTGTGGAAACTGGACTAAGTAAGTTGGATGACAAAAGCCCACTTGGATATGGTTTGTAAAAAGTAATGAAGGAATACACAAAAAATGAGACACAGAAGCAATATTTGCTCTAAGCAACCTATTCCTGTAGCAGCAGCAAAGGGGAAAACTTTGAAAACCATAAAAGGCTATTTTTTCCCCTCTCCTTTTTCCAGGAACCTAGAGGAGAAAAATTGAACTGAGTTAATTTTGAGTAATTAAAAAAAGAATGGATACATTATAAATATAAAAATAATATAGGATAAGACCTCCAGAGGAGCTGAAAAACCAACCAGTTGTTGAAAAAAATTATGCTATAACAATGTTTTCATAGGGAAGTTGAAAATTTTGTCTTAATATGCTAATTTTATATAAATTTTCATAAAGGCACAAGAAATGAATTGCCTCTGTGAATGAACACCACAAGGCACAAGTATGAGATGATGAGACAAGAGGAACCAATGACACATAGTTGGCAAATCTCAGGAGAAAAGTGAAAGAAAAATTAGAATCATCACAAACTAAAAATGAAAATGGAAGAATTACAACATAAACCGGGGACTGAGATAATCAGGGAAAGAAAGGGCAGAAATGAGAAAGGCTAGCAAAACAAAATAGAAATAAAGAAAAAAATGGCTTAGAGAGAATATAAAAGATGGAGAAGATGTGCAAAAGTAACCCAGTGGATACACAGAGACCCTAGAGAGGAAAAAACAAATGATGGAAAAAAATAAATACTTAAATATATCATCAAGAAAGAAACATTCTTAAAATAAAAGATGTGAAATTTCCCTTTGAAAGGAAACACTGATTAAATGATTACCAGAGAAAACCGCCACAGAATCATCAAGACCAAGGTTATTCTAGTACAGTAACTAGGATTTAGATATAAAAAGGAAACTTTTGAGCATGTAGGCAAACCTGTCAGTAACATAAAGGAAAATGTTGATATTGTTCTCAAGATTCCTTATTGCAACATTCAGTAGTGGAATAGAATCATCCACTATCAGTGGAACAAAGCCTACAAGATATCAAAGAAAACAGAGTGAGAGTTTTTTTTTTTTTTTTTTTTTTTTTGCTAAATAGTCCTTTAAGCACAATGGATATGAGCAGTTTTCTACATGAAAGAACTCAGGGAATATTATTCTTATGAACCCAACAACAGGAAATCACTGGAAATGAAATGAAAGAAATAAGTATTAAGCTTTCTAAGAGACAAATGGAAGAGACATGGATTAAAAACTGATTATTTGTGTTAATAAATTGAATGCACTCATTTATTAATCTAAGTTTTGAGAATCTGAGAATAAAGTAATAAAATGGAATATAAATCTCACAGATCTGGACAATATAAAAATAAAACATCTAAAAAAATCGGTATGAGAATGACAAAAGAAGATAGGGTATAAAGTCAATTAAATGTTGGGAATCAAGGAAACTCACATAAAGCAAGAAATAAGTATTCCAACAATTAATCGTCCAAAGGTAGACTATAATCAAGATTATATAATGTATTGAAGGAGAAGATAGGGAAGAATAAGAAACAAATTTTTACCATTGCATATTTTAATGAACTAAACTACAGAGTCTATAAAAATAGAGAGATGCAGTTAATTTATTAAGGAATAATTTTGAAAGTACCAATAACAAAATTAAAAAAAAACACTTTATAAATGTTTAAAGTATGCACATAGAGAAAAAGAAAAGAAAATCAAACACAGAGTAAAGAAATTGTGCAAAGTTCTAAGAGGAAATAACATAAAACAATGTGTCAGAACCACAAATCAACATTTCTAATATACCAATAAATGTAAATGGTTTTCCCATTTCCTGTCAAAAATATATTGAGATTGGATTACAAAACAAAATAGTTTTCTATGTTTTGATTTTACAGCAAGAAAATTCAGCATGATTGAAAAATTAAAAAATGGGAAAACATACCAGGCAATTGAAAACAAAGAGCAAGTTGTATTCATAACCTTAATCAGAGATAAGTTTGCATAAAGTCAAAAAGATGCTGACAAACAAGAAGAAAAATATGTTATGATAATAAAAGTAAAAGTCACCTTCCTATTATGGATGAAACAATTATAAACATCTTTGTACCAGATGACATAACACTAACATTACTAAATCATAAATTATAAATATTCAAGGAGAATGGCACCCATTATTAATTGGAGTCTTAATACTTTTAATTCATGATTGTCTACATAAACAGAAAATAAATATATGAATGATTAAGTATATATGACTTATATATACTTAATATATATATTAAATATATACATGAAGGATTAAATATGTATGCTTTATATTTTAACTAGAATTTTGTAGCAATGTAGTACAAAAAATTAGTTAAAATATTAACAAATGAATCCAACAGCTCATTTCATCATCACCAAGTACATGCTTTTTTTTATCAAGAAAGTAAGGATGTTTATATCTCAAAAATATATTAACATATTTCATCCCTTCTCTTATCTATAAAATGGAAATAAAATATCAGCACCCACCTATGGAATTTTTTTAGAAAGATTAAAATAGTCATTGCATACCAAACCTTTAGCAAGAATGCTGGGCATGGAGTGAGCCTTCTTTAATGTTATCTGTTGGTTTTTTTTTTATCAGCATTCATAAGATATTAAAAAGTTACTGTGCTTATGATAGCACATAAAACTTGCTTTCATTTTCTTGAATAATAAACTCCTGTGTTGATTTATCAATATTGTGTTCTCATCTTTTGTTCCTTCTTCAAGAGTTTTCATCATTGGATTTCAATTTTTGTTCTCTGTTCCTTTGTATTATTATTAATATCCTGCAAAGGATTGAAATCAATTTACAAATTGGGAGTATACTTAAGACCAACTATCCAATTAAAAATAATTTCATATGATAATAGTAAAATATGAATGCATTTTCTTTTTAAAATAGACTTTAGTTTTTAGATCAGTTTTAGGTTTGTAGCAAAACTGAGCAGAAGGTAGCATTCCTATGTGGTACCTTCCCCCACATATGCACAATCTTCTCCATCCACTGTCAACATCTCCCACCACAGTGGTACATTTGTTATCATCAATGAACCTACAATGACACATCATTATCACCCCATGTTACAGTTTACATTAGGATTGACTGTTGAAGTTGTACATTCTATGGGCTTTGATAAATATATAATGGCATGTATCCATCACTGTAGTATCACACAGAATAGCTTTACTGTTCTAAAACTCATCTGTGCATCATCTATTCATCTCTCTCTCCCTGCTTACACCCTGGCAATCCCTGATCTTTTTACTGTTTCTATACTTTTGCCTTTTCCAGGAATCATTCCGTATGTAGCCTTTGGAATCATACAGTTTTTAGCCTTTTCACACTGGCTTTTTTCACTTAAACACATGCATTTAAGTTTCCTCCAAGCCTTTTCATGGCTTAAAAACTTCTTTGTTTTTGTAATTTGCACTAAATTCTATTATCTATATAGTATGACAGTTTAATTTTCTATTCACCTATTAAAAGACATCATGGGTGCTTCCAAGTTTGGGCAATATGAATAAAGCTGTTATAAACATCCATGTGCAATTTTTTTTTCAGGACATAAGTTTTCAAATTCCTTGGGTAAATATCAAGGAATGTGATTTCTGGATCATATGGTAAGAATATGTTTATTTTTGTAATAAACTGCCAAACTGTCTTCTAAAGTGGCTGTACCATTTCATAGTCCCACCAGCATTGAATGAGAGTTCTCACTGAGCTCTATTCATACCAAGATCTGTGATCTGTGTCTGGGATTTTGGTCATTCTAACAGTTTGGTAGTGATAGTTCATTGTTCTTTTAATTTGAATTTTCTGATGATATATTATGTTTAGCATGTTTCATATGCTTATTATCCGTCTTCTTATCTTCTTAGGTGAGGTGTCTGTTTAGGGATATTTTCCATCTTTTAATTAAATTGTTCATTTTTTTATTGTTGAGTCTTAAGTGTTCTTTATATATTTTGGATGACAGCATTTTAAAAGATAGAACCTTTGTGAATATTTTCTCACAGTCTGTATCTTGTCATTCTTTTAATATTGTTTTTAACAGAAGCTCTAACTTTTAATGAAGTCTATTCTACCAATTATTTCTTTCATGGGTTATTACTTCATTA